GAGAAAAGCCCTTCATTTGGACTCAGAAGATCTGGGTTCAAATCCCAGCTCTGCCATCTCCCAGTTTCTCGTTCCTTTTCTTTACTCTGCCTTTGTCAGCCCTCCCCAGAGTACTGGGTTCAATTCTGGCCACCAGGGTTTAGGAAGGACCTTGATATGCAGAGCATCCAGAGGAGAGCACCAGCCTCATGAATGACCAATAGAACAGAAAACTCCGGGTCAGACAAGATAACTGGTGTCGGCCTCAGGTATTTCTGAGGCTGTCACCTTCGCCTTGTCCTGCTAGTCCTCAGAAAGCAGAGTTGGGAATTGTAGGTGGAAGCTACATAGGAGCAAATTTAGGAGCAATGCCCAGACTTCCTTCCCAACCCTGAGAGCTGTCCCAGTGTAGACTGGGCTGCCTGGAGGGGTGATGAGCTCCTCCTTGGAGGTCTTCCATCAAAGGCAGGACATATCTCTGTGGTGTCGCTGTGGGGACTCTTTTGGTGATTAGAGGTCCTTTCCAATCCTGAAACTCTAATTCTGTGATAACCTGGATGACTTTAGGCAAATGACTTTACCATCCCAAGCCTCAGTTTCACCATCTGACAGATGAGAGTAACACTCCCTGCATTCTATCTCCTTCCCAGGGGAATGATGTAAGAGGACTGTATTCTATCTTGGAACAGCTTTCACTGTTAGGTAGTTTTCCCTTCCATCAAGTCCAAATCTGTCTTTTCCCAACTTCTAATCATTGCTGCAATTTCTTTTGTGGACAAGATGAACAAGCCTAGTGCATCTTCTCTAAGCTAATTCTACTCAGTTCCCTTGATTGATATCCATGTGGTATAAGGACTTTTACCACACTCTTCACTTTATCAGTGTTCTTCCTACAATGTGGCAGGTAACAAGAATTGAACACTGTTCCAGGTGTGGTCTGACTGGGGAACAGGACAGAGGAACTATCTCCCCCTTAGTCTATGCTGTGACCTCCTAATTTGGCCTGGGAACACATCAGTTCCTGGGGCTGCCAGGTCATTCAAGTTCCTCTTGTGAAACGTGGCATCCACTAAAACCCTCAGAACTTGTTCAGATAAAGCACTGACTTACCTTATCTCCCCTGTTATACTTGTGAAATTGATTTCTTGGACTCCAGTGTCAGAATTTGCCCTCATCCCTATTATAGTACACTGGGTTAGATTTGACAAAATGTTCTGGCCTGTCAAGATCTTTGCTTCCTGACAGTCATCTATAGTATCCCTCCTCACTATTTGTAAGTGTGATAAGCATACCCTCTATGCCTTTGGCCAAGTCATGGATAAACCCCATTGGGGCCAAGCACAGATCTCCATGCCTCTCCACAGAAAACCTCCTTTTAGTTGACATTAGACCATTAATGACTATTCTTTGGATCCAGCCATCCAACCAGCTCCCAAATCCATGTGAAAATATTCAGTAATATTCAGTTTGGTCGGCCATTCCCTAAGTGATGAGCATCTCTTTTTTTCCAGTTCTCAACTACCATGAAAAGAGCTGCTATAAGTATTTTTGTGCATATTAGGGATTCTTTTTGACAATTACCTCCTTGGGGTATATTCCTAACAGTGTTCCTCAAGGAAATGGAGGTTATAGATGTTTTTGATACTTCATTTGCATAATTCTAAATTGCTTTGGCAAATTGGTTTCTACAAATTCACAACTCCACAATGCATTAGTGGGCTGGTCTCACCACACTCCTTCTCATGTTAACTATTCTCATCTTTTATAATCTTTGTCTCAGAGTTGTTTTGATCTGTATTTCTCATTATTAGTGATTCAGAGTATTCTTTCATGTGGTTATTAAGTTTCTTTATTTAAAAATTGTCTATATCCCTTGACCACTTTTCTACTGAGAAGTAAATTTTCATCATAGATTTCTGTTAGTTGTCCATATATGTTAAATATCAAATATTTATCAGACATATTTGGTACAAAAATTTTTCCTAGTCAACTACTTCCCTTATTATCCAATTTTTATTTGTTCAAAATTCTTTAATTTTTTCTTAATCAAAATTTGTAATTGCTTTTAGCTCTTGTTTGATTAGAATTAATATTCTACCTATTGTTATAAAAAGTGTATGATCTATTCTCATCTAATTGTTTTATGCTGTTATCTTTAGTATTCAAGTCATATATCCATTTTAAATTTTATTTTATAATCTGTTGCAAGATGCTAGTTTTAGTCTAATTTTTATCAGACTGCTTTCCAATTTCCCCACCAATTCTCATCAAATAAGGTGTTTCCTGCATAATATATGTTTTCAGTTTTACCAAAGACTGGCTCATTGAATTTATTTCTGATTCTTCTTAGTCTGTTCTTTTGATCTACTTTTTTTTTTAACTAGTATCAAATGGTCTTGATGACTGTTCTTGAAAATGTATTTGAGGTCCCAACGTGCTAATTCCCCTTTTGTTCCTGTATTTTTATTATTTCTCTTGATGTTCAGGATCTTTTGTTCCTCCAAATGAATTTTCTTATTATTTTATCTCACTCTATAAAGTAACCTTTTTGGTAGTTTATTTGGTAAAGCGTTAAATTTATAAGTTAATTTTGGTGGCATTGTCATTTTTGATTGGCATGGCCCAGCCATGAGCACTGAAGAATCTTCCAGCAGTTTATGCTGTTTTTTATTTTTTTAAAAGAAGCGTTTTGTTATTAAATCTATTCCAATATTGAGTGTGCTTTGGGAGAGTGAGTCCCAAGTATTTTATACGTTTTATAGTTATTTCAAACAGGACATCTTCCCTTTCTGTTTTCATCGTTCAGTGTGTGTTATGATATAGTAATGTTGATTTTTGTGGATTTCTTTTGTTGCCTATATTTTTGCTGATACTGTAATCTCAATTAAGCTGATTCTCTTGTATATATCTAAGCGAACCCTCATGTCATCAACAGACAGGGGTGGTTTTGTCTCCTCTTCATATTTATTATTTGCTAACATTTCGATAAAGCTTTTCCTGCTCTGTCACCCAGCTGTCTTTTCCATATGACTTCACATTCCTCCTCCCGTAGTGCTCTGTATATTCTAGACAAATTGGCCCTCCTTTCCCCTTGGGTATCATCTCCCTCTTCTGTCTTTGCCCAGGCTTCTCTCCCTGTCTGGAATATCTTGGACCAGATTTTCTTCCATGTTGTCCCTCTTCATCTTCATCTCTTAGACTCCCCACAACTCAGGTGCCCCCTTGGAGACACAGTTGTTTTGTTCTCTAACTCAACCCCCCTCTCCCAGTTACTTTGTATTTGCTGCATACATTATGTACACATTTCCCCCAATAGAATGTAAGCTCCTTGAGAGCAGGAAGTGTTTTTTTTTCTTTCTTTATACCCCACAGTGAGTCCCTAGCCTTTAGTAGATTCATCATAAAGACTGGTTGAACTGAAAAGAATTCAGTCTCTTTGTGTATTTGTAGCTATGCGAAAGAATGCACCACAAGTTCTGAAGGCAGCTTCCAAAGAGGATTGCAGATGTAGTCTGATCAATGGTAGCATCTTTGTAATAAGTGCATGGCCTCCCAAAGGGATGGCTTTGATGTATAAAGGAATAAATTACATTGTTTTACAATCACACATGATACACTGACTGTTAGTTCCTTACAGGCATAGACTGGCTACTGTTTATTTTTTCCATGTAGTTCACTGTACCTGGGACAGTAAAAGAGATATAATTAGTGAACCAACTAGTGATTGGAAGGCGAGTAGATGTCCTAGCCAACATTATTTGAAGCTTTATTAAGACATTTTATTTTTTATTAATAAATTTATTTATTTTTAGTTTTCGACATTCACTTCCATAAGATTTTGAGTTCCAAATTTTCTCCCCATCTCTCCCCACACCCACAAGATGGCATGTAAATTGATATAGAAGGCCTTTTATTTTTACATCACAATCATTTCTCCTCTTTCCTCCTCCACCCAGCCCAGCATACACTATGAGCCTTCCCTTGTGACAAGGAAAAACAGTTAAGCAAAACCAAGCAGCAGAACGCCCTTGTCTACAAGCTTATGCAGCATTCTGCCCCAGTGTCCCCCCACCTCTCCAAAGAAAAGAGGGCTGTAAATTGCTTATCTCTTCCCCTGGGCCAGGTATGATTGTTATAGTACACTTCACCATTGTTTTATTGATCTTTTCAATTATGTTATTCCACTGCTGTCGGATGTTTTCCTGGTTTTATAGCTTCCCTTGGCACAGATCATGCAAAGTTTGCCGTTGTCTCAGAATTCATCATTGTCCGTTCTGACTGATAGGATTTTCAGTTACTGCAGGATGCCGCAGTTTGTACAGCCAGCCTCCGATTGACTCGGTTCTTTCTCACTAATTATTAGACTGTATGTTTAATCTCAGCCCCTTCTCTCATTACTCCACATAAATTAGACCTCACAGGCTACCTAGCTCTGCTCCCCATTAAGCTCCACATTCATGTTTAATAGCCTGCCTCTGCCAAATTCTTAAATGTCCATAGAGATGCGTAGCCTGGTTTCAGATTTTACCATAAAATGGATCACAGTTCACCTACAGGTCATCGGTGGCCAGCAGCCACAGACAAAAGTACCACCGAAGATGTTCCACACAACAATACTCTATCAGACAACACAGAGGCAAGTAAGCTAATAAACAGACCTTGAGAAATTCATTGTGATGCTAAACATGCCTTCTTGATCTGTCTTCATGGCAGCCAGAGGGCCCCTGAGTCATTTGGCTTCCTAAGTTTGGTTCTGGGGTGCGAGAATGCATGGCAGCTGGCGTGGAGTCATGGCCTCTTTCATAGTTGTCTTTACATGCTCATCATGTTGCCCAGCATGGAACGTAGTAAGGGGTCAACAAATTCCGTTGTCTCTCCTGGCTAGAATGCAAGCTCCCTGAGGGCAGGGACTTTTGCCTTTGTATCCCCAGTGCAGGGCACATAGTAGATGTTTATAAGTAACTCTTTGTTGAATTGGATAAAGAGTAATGAGAATTTATTTCGGGTCATGTTTTTGACAGGATGCTATAGTTATTCATGAAGTATATGAAGAAGGAGCAGCAGCCAGAGATGGAAGACTTTGGGCTGGTGACCAGATTTTAGAGGTCAGTGGTTTGAATTTTGCTGAGAAATGTAATCCCACGGATGACTCCCCTTTGTCCACAAGCTATCCTGCAGGTAGGGGGTGGGTTGGACACCCCTTCTGACTCTGAAGTCCCACGTTGCTCTTCACAGGCTTCCAGGGTCTCCCACCTTCTGTTGATTCACTCTTTTCCTCACCAAGCCCTATGTTCTCCCCCACCCCTTTCCCTCTCTCTCTCTTTCTCTTTCCCTCCCTCCCTCATTTCCTCCCATGGCAGCAAAATCCAGAAAAATGGTTTTAGAGTCAGAGTAATTGGGTTGGAATCCTGGCTCAGCTACTTATGACCTGTGTGACCTTGCCCAAGCTGCTGAGCCTCTCTAGGCCTCAGTTTCCTCCTTTGTTAAATGAGGGGGGGGGCAGATTCCTTGTTCCCTGATATTCTCTCTATCTCTCCTGCAATGATCTGGTGAGAAGAGTACTAGCTTTGCAATCAGAGAACACAAATTCAGTCCCACCTAAGGCGCTTAGTTACTTAGTAACTTCTTCTTTCTTTGCTGATGTCATATTTGTGGGAGCTTTGAGGGACAGATCAGGGATTTCCTTGGTACCAGGAATTTCCCAGGGCAGCTAGGTGGCACAGTGAATAGAGTACTTGGCCTGGCATCAGGAAGACCCATCCAGCATCAGGCACTTACTAGCTTTGTGACCCTGGGCAAGTCATTTAACCTTGTTTGCCTCAGTTTCCTCATCTGTAAAATGAAGTGAAGGAAACGGCAAACCACTCCAGTATCTTTGCCAAAGAAAACCCCCGATGGGGTCATGGGGAGTCAGACATGACTGAAATGACTGAATAACAACAAAGGAAATTCCCTCCACCAAGGCAGACCAGTAACCCATGCTCTTGGAGCACTGCCTGGGGCATTGATAGATTGTCTCTCCCCAAGTCACAGAGCATGTGTCAGAGGTGGAATTGAACCAAGGTCCCCCTGACTCTGAACTTGGTTCACCATCTACCATGCTCCCTCTTTTATGTCTACATTTGCTCCCAGCATTGAATATCATTTTCTCAAGGCAGATAATTAAATTATACCAATTAAACTATGTCCAAATGGGCAGCTCACTCCTTTTCCCCTTGGTCTTCCTGGTCAGCTGAAATGAAGCTCGAGGCCCTCTTGTTGGCCCACCATACTGTACCAATGGCGCCGTCTCACCGGGCTTTTCTGATTTGTCATCACTTTGCGTGGGCACGAAATTGGCAGCTCGGTGCCAGTAACTGGGTGAAGGAGAAGCCACAGCCAGCAATTTGTGGAGGCTGGACTAAGCTTACTTTGTGTCTTGAAGCCTTTAGGCAACATTTATTTCCTTTATGGGAGGAATTTAATTGACTAGTTAACATTTTATGGTGAGCATGTGTGCGTTTTGCTTAGTGACTTTCCTATAACCCAGGAAGGCTGACATCATTGGTTCTCAGCCTGCAGTGAGTTGTGTCCCTGGGCAGGAAACTAGAGAGCCAACCGTGGGTTAGAAGATACAGAAAGGAAGGGGTTAAAGGTGTAACCATGCTGAGTACAAGGTGAAAGAAGGCCTGGCTCAAACAAGCTATTTCAAGGCAGGCCTTGACTGTGTTTCCATGCTGGAGCAAGTGATATTCCCAGTGGGTTCATTAGACTATATGTGTATAGGGTTAGCAAAACAGAGGGGGGCCTCTTTGGGGAGGGGCTTAATAGTTTTAACACAGAACATGGTTTTAATGATTAGGCTTTTCTCGTTTTATAATCAGCTAGGATTTACCCAAAGCTGGTAATTAGCATGATGAGGTAAAAGGCAGAGAGGGCAGCGACTCCTTAATTGAATATTTGGAAAAGGTTGACTCCTTGCATGCTGTGAAGCAAAGTCAGCCCCTCCAAGTGATGATGATGACGCCAAGGGTCAGTATTGTTAAATTCATTTAAAGTGAAAGAGACTTTTTAAAAAGTTGTATTCATGCCTATAGTTAGTACCTCCTGCCTGGTCATTTCTGAGTATGCTTTTCCAAGTAGCCCTTCTCATGTAAAAATAATCTGGTGAAACCAGCCAGCACAGTGACTTCTGGCAATATGTGCCCCATTCCATCTCCCTCATCCCTCACTTCTCCAATGAAAGGAGGAGGGATCGTGAACCAGACAATTGTTTGATCTGCCCATAATCACCCACATGGTATTATCCGCCTGTCTAACAGGCAGAAGGCAGACTAGGGGGAGGGTCAGTTTTGGAGTTGGGAAGTTCTGGTTCAAATGTCTGGACATATACCTCCTATGTCACTCTAGGAAAGTCATTCACCTTCCCGGTGCCCTAAGCAGCTCTTGAGGACTATCTAGCATTAATAGAGAGGGTTTCCTGTGACGAAGAAATCGCAGAATAGTGGGTTTAGAAAGAGCCACAAAGGCCATCTAATTCAACCCATATCTCAGCCAAACCGTAAGCATTTATTTAACACCTCTTGTATGCCTGGTGCTATCCTCAGTTCCAGGAATATGAAGACAGAAATGAAACTTCCTGCCCTCAAGGAGCTTAAATTCTTTGGGATAAGACAATATCTATATATATGCCTAACATAAACCAACTCATTGGTGGTTCCAAGACTCTAGTGCATTGTACCCACTCTATTTCCACCAAGGTGCCATATTCTCTGGATCCATCCATGAGCATGATCTGTTTCCTATGATCTAATGCTTAAGCTCTTTTCTTCTCCTTCCTGCCTCCTTCTCTTCCTCTTTTCCTTCTTTCATTTCTTCCTTTCTTTCCTTCCTTCCTTCCTCCCTCCCTTCTTTCCTCTTTTTTTTTTAGACTAGTTCTCTCTAAGACAGAAGTATAGCTGCCACTCCCAAGCTCAATCATAGAGAGCTAGACTTGAAGTCAGGAAGACGTGAGTTCAAATACAGCCTTAAGCAAATACTAGCTTTATGGCCCTGCGCAAATCAGTTAACCTGTCTGCCTCAGTTTCCTCATCTATAAAATAAGCATAATAATAGCACCTCTCTCTCAAGGTTGTTATGAGAATCAAATGAAATTGTATTTTTGAAGTATTTTGCAAACCATAAAGTACCATATAGCTGCTGGTTATCACTATCCATCTCACTGTTGAGCAGCACAAAGCTTTAACCTGTTCCATTTCTGATCTGGCCCTGTTGCCCTTCCCTAGATAGTCTGGTGTTCCCCCCTTCCCCCAACCTGGGGGCTTACCATTTTGACACTGGACTGAGTGTAGACACCTCTTCAGTGTTAGCCCAACTGCAGCTCAGAAACCCTGAACTCACACAATTCACCACCCTTAGCCCCACTGGTAGCAAATGTAGGTACATACCACTGCACCAGGCCTACCCTCCCTTTTCTCACACTCTTTGCTTCATTCTACCTCTCTCTAGGCACCTTCAGGAAGAGTTAATCATAGCTTAGGTTTTAGTTTATATAGAGGGTTTGTCTATAAGGGAGGAGTAGAGAGGTACTCAATGTATCATGTGAATCAGGTATGGGACAGCTATTTATTTCACACACACAAAAGCAATGCATAGCCTGAAATACATAAAAGCACTCATTGATAGAAAGACAAACAAGTGGCACTGTCACACTTGGTGGGGAGGTTGGCACTTAAATCCATCTAAACGTGAAGCAGTTTCACCTCAGTCCTGTTCCGTATCCCTCAAAGTCTGTGGTATCTAACTAGCCAGACCAGCAATAAAATTCAGCCTCCCGTCAGTGGTATCCTCATCCATGCAGAAACTTCTGCTGCCACCAGTCAGCTCCATCCATCGTAAACAAGACCTCAGAACCATATGAACTCCGAAGGACACTTTCACACCTGGATACATCCACCCTGAGATCACTGTTCAGTCATCTGCTCAGGAAAGGTCAAACCCCAAAAGAGGATGCTGAAGACTAGGCAGGCTTCCCTAAGCAGGTCACGAGCTTTAGCTGCCAAGTGCTCGTGGCCATGGGGCCGCTGGTGTCAGGCTCAGAGTGAGCTGCCTTCCCCCTGCCCTGCACTCGGAGCAGATCATAGCAGTGTGGACAGTACCCAAACCAGAAAGAGGAGAGAGTGCTGAATTTGTGGTCACTCCCTTTTAGAGATACCCTGAGTCATCGGATCCTCCTCAGTGGCCAATATGGGGATTGCCTCATGCCCTCAAGGCATTCAGTCTTCACAGTGCTGAATCACGTCTGTGTGGTCAGCCAGAAGTCAGAGACCCTGTGCATGGTCTGTGGAACTGTTAAATAGGCAAATGGAAAATTCAAAATGAATATGAGGTCATTTCAGCCTTGAAGGGGGCCACTAATATTGGGTAGTGTAGCCTCTTCTAGCATGTAGCATTTGAGCTGGGTGAAGGAAATCTGAGGGTCTCGGCAGTGGCTACGAAGAGGAAATGCTTTCCAGGTATGAGGAAAAGCCTGTGCAAAGGAACAGAAATAGGTGGTCCAATGGAGAGCATGCTGGACCTGAAATCGGGAAGACCCAAGTTCAAATCCAGCCTCAGACATTTACTTGCTAGCTGGGAGATTCTGGGAATAACAATAGCACCTACCTTCAGGATTGTCATGAGGATCAAATGAGATAACATTTGTAAAGCATTGAGCCAGCCTTAAAGTGCTGTAGAAATGCTAGCTATGTTATTGTCATTGTTGTAGTTGTTATTGGGGAAGGGGCGCCAGTTTGGTTGAATTACTGAGTACGTGAAGGGAAATAAGACATAAGTCTGGGAAGAAAGTTGTGAAGAGCTTCCCATGCAGAAGAGAGGAATTCATGTTGGAGCCTAGAGGCAATCGGGGAACATTAAACCTGACTGAAAATCTTCCCTGTCACATACACGGCCATCCAGCCTCATGTGGAGGATCTCCAAGGACGGGGAATCCATCACCTCCTGAGGCAGCCCATGCCATTTTGGACTAGCTTTAGTCACAAGGCAGAAGCAGAAAGGAAAATATAAGGCACAGTGTTTATTCTTCCTCATGGGCAGTCTTCAAGCAGAGACTGAGTGACCTCACGTT